CCGCCCTCAGCAGCAGGTGCCGGCGCCGCTGCCCTCGGGCCGGCGCTTGGGGCCGCCGCCGGGCGATCGCCCCTTGTGGGCTCGGCGGGAAGGAGGCAGCTGCCTCCCCCTTCCCCGCAGCCGCTCTTGCTGAGGTGCTCGGAGCGGGCGAGAGGCAAAGAGACCCCCTGCAGCCACCCGCCTGCATAAAGGCCGGCTTGAAACGTGTGCCTTTGTGTCTGGCTGCAATAAACGGGGGAGGCCGCCGCGGGGGGACAGGAGCCCCCCCCACCGAATGTGCCCTGGCTCGGCTTGTCTCCAGTCACGGAGGGATGGAGCTGGGATGAAGGAAATGGACCTGTTCTCATTCCCTTGGGGGGTGGGGTTCCATATATCTAAAGCAATCCACACTCTTATCTGTACTCCCCCCAGGCTTAGAGCACCTGCTCCCATACAGGATAAAGACTTCCTTTGACTGGGCCAAAGGACTTTCCCCCCCAACTCTTTGGGGTCTTCCTGGGCCCTGAGCCTGCAGCACAAGTGGTTCTTCCAGGCAGGGATCTGCTGAAAATCCCTGTGTGACAGGACGGTGTTAGAGTAAGCACGTATCCAGCCCATCCCATCTGTAAGATACTTCTAAAGAGGAAGGATAACTTTAGCCGAGGCCCAAGCCTATCTCAAAAAAGCAAGCGAAACACTATCAGTGTCTGCAAAGGGAGGGGAGGAAGGAGAAATGCATGCAAGAGGCTGACCTGCTACTGTATGTATCCCCCTTCGATTGCCTGCTAACCAACCGGGGGCGGATTCTGACACAGTTCAGTACCCTCCGTTTACCTTACTTGGGTGAATAGCCCCAGGAGGGTCAAGCACAGGCTTGGGGTGGGTTTTACACCGGACTTTGAGCAAGGTCCATACCCAGACAGCACGTGCCCTGGCAAATCCTGTAGGGTTTCAAATCACAAAGCAGCTCTAAAAGTCCCAGGCACAAACTAGGATATAGTAACTTGAATGTTTGGGGGGGAGAAAGAGGGTTGGTTGTAGCTGTGTTGAGCAGTTAGTCTAATAAAATATCACATTTACCCAAATAATCTTGTTTGTCTTAGCCTGGATGTGAAAGACACTAACTTCGTCTCTTCCCCAGTCTGTTGCAGTGTGGAACTGATGCTGTAGCTGTGATGGTCCAGAAATTATACCAAAGGCAAAGATTTCTTAGGGTGATGCCTTGTATCAGACCAACTGTGCATCTGGGACAAGCTTAGACAGACTTTCAAAATGCAAGACGCTCCTCATCAGGTCCTGAGCAAGAAGGAGCAGGTAAAGAACGCCTCGCATTCAAAAGCTTGTCTAACTTTATCCCAGCCAGAGTTGGTCCAGTGCAAGGCAATGCCCTAAGAAATCTTTGCCCCTCATGTCTATAGGGAGAAGAAATCTCATTTTCCCCCAAAACACAAATGCAGAAAGCTGAAAATACCAAGTTGAGGCCACACTTTAAAAGTCCATATCCATTAAAATGGGATAAAGGCTTCAGTAGGATCAGCCTAATAATGTTAACCCTGCCCCACTCTCAGTTCACACAGGAGCCAGGAGATCCAGATTGGTATGTTGCCTCAAGTTTTCTAAGATGCAAGTCTGTATACAGGATTGCGGCATTCCTTGGTTTGATAGACTGTCGACAGAAAAAAAAACCCCAATTGTATGTAGCTTGGTTTAAAGTGGCAGTCTGAAAGGTCTAGCCAGAGTTCCCAGGAAGTATGTTTAGAAAGAAGGCCTATGGGTGGTGGAGGCAGGGGGAAGATACCAAGGAGGAGTATACCTACTTGGCTCACCCTTGCAGGGAGTTAGTTAGAAAGGCCAAAGCAACTACAGAGCTGAGGCTGGCAACACAAATTAAAGACAACAAAAAGTCTTTTTTTAGGTATGTAGGAAGTAAAAGG